AAGTTTACAGAAAATTTTACATGTTTTCCCCTTGTCTTATAGTTCTTCAGTTTTAATAGCACATTTAATTTGCATTTCCAAGCATTCTTGTGACAATATGACAGGTAGATTCTCATACAAGCTCTTGATTCCAGGAGTTAAGGGTTTGTGACAATGCACTGAAAAAAGTGAGCATTGCAATGAAATCCCAAGACGGAAAGCATTGCTGCAGTCTCACACTGGTTCCAAATAATTTTTCTTGATGTAGTACAACCATTAGGGAATTTTTGCTCTACTCTTTTCAATAAACAGTTCCCTAGTTTGACAATCTAAGCTGTTTACCGTGATTTTTAATAGCTATCTTTCAATAGCTCATCTTTTCAAGGAATTCAAAAGTCACAGAGGCATACATGTCACTCAACTTGTATTACAATCATCTACTGTGAGTTACAAAGCACTGAAATTTTCCTATGAGACAAAACATCTAATACAGTAAAGGCCTAACTGAATTTGACTAAACTATCAACTTAATGCAAGAATGACTCATTAAGTCATGGTACGAGTTAGTGTGTAGCCTGGAGGAGTAAGCCCAGGTTTGTAAACCAAGAAATTCCGCATCCAAAATTTTGCCTGTACCATAACTTTGACTTGTATCTTTAAAATTACTTAAAAAAAAAAAAAAAACCAAAACAAAACCACCACAACAAAATCTTAGTATATGTGTATATTTATTTATTTATAAATATTTTTATATTTAAGGAGAGTTACATCTAATGAGTAAACACTTTCCTCATGCAGACAATGTTAAACCTGATGCTAACATGTAACACTCTCATTGGCTTAAGTAGACCTTAGGATTCCAAAACCCTTGCAGATGTTTTGCATAAAGGTGATAAATTAGGACTTTTTCCTGTAGGTTCTACTCTTGGTATCTCTTTCTCAAATGAAGAAAAATGCTTATTTTTTTAGCCAAATGTCAAGAGAACAGAAATGTGGCTCACTCTGGTCTGTAGTTGGAACTCAGAAAAATGCTAGTAGGTTACTTTTCACTAAAAATTTAGAAAGCTGCTTTTCTAAAATTTTCTTAGCTGCAAACAAATAAAAAAAAAGGTTATCCAAATTGATTTCCATGAATAAAAAACACAGAACAAAATGAGTTCCCATTTGGCCAATGAGGATTTTTTTGGTTAAAGAAATGTTTCAAATCAGTCCAGCTCTTGAAGTCTTCAAAAACCAGCTATGATTATATGTATAACCACACATCTTTTGAGTTGTGTTTCCTTGTAAAAACGATATATCAGGGAAAACAGTTACTTGAATTGATCTTTCCTGTGCATCTGTTAAAATGCAAATAGCCTTTCAAAATATACATCTTTACACAACTTTTTCAACCTTCTGATAACCTTTTAGTCCTCCAGGATCCCATCACAGTAGTGCTTTGAAAGCAGTTAGTCTTGCAGCTTTTTCTATCCCTTCTCCAACCCACAGCCTTTTTCTCTTCTATATAGAAGAAATGAGGGAGATGCTATAATCCATTCCACTGCTACTCAGTTGATGCATTTGCCAATTAGTGTAAGAAACATCCTCTGAGAGCAATATTTAATTACTGCAGATATTTAGATGATAACATGAGATTCCAGCCAAGCCTCAAATATTTTTAAAATTGCCTAGGTAACATTTATTTTCTAAATTATTAGCCCACTCCCTCTGAAAAGCAAGGTCTCTAAATTAAAGAAATGTGGTGGATGAAATGTTATATTTTGCCACCATCAGCAAAAAAATTTTCCTCTATGAGGTTGTGTCAAATAAAAAGCTTAGTAGGCCAATAATGGCCATGACCTGTGGCAGCCTTGTTGTACTGTGTAACTGAATTATTTCCTTTTCTAAAGCTCCAAGTGTGCCACTAAGAAAGCTAGGTCAGCATATACAGTAAACAAATCACAAATCACCCAACAACTACTGTACCGTCTGCCTCCAGAATGAAAGATCTCTTCCCTAGTTTGAACTTTCGGACCTTGAATTTGACCCTGTCTGAGCTTTTGTTATGTTAACAAATTATTTTGATGGTAAAACTGTGAATCTACAGATAGGACTGGTGAGGGAAACACATTAATAAGGAATTACTTAAGTAAGTCAGGTTGCTTGACCCAAGCACGCAAGCTCTCTAAATTTATTTCCTTCTCACCCTTCTGTATTGTCACTGCAGCTTTAATTTCTCCCTTCTCCTCCATGAATCCATTTATAGTGATTGCACCAGTGCTCTTAGCAATTTATTCCATATTTCTAGTATTCTTTGCATGAAATAGCTCTGCTGGAATTCCTGTTTACTTCTAATTTCAGTTTGATACCACTGTTTTTTCAAACAGCAGCTTATAGTTAATTAAAATAAATCTGAAAACAGATACATTTAATATAGGAAATGTTTGTAAATTGATATATTTTTTTCTTTAGCAATGTTTTGAGACTGTATTTTATTAATATATTTGCACAAATAATTACCCTAAATCTCATATTCAGGTAATTACAAAAATAAAATGAACATCTGTTATTACAAATGCATAATGTCAAGTCATAAATGTGCAGGTTAGGGGTTAACACAAGCAAATTGGACACGGTACATAAACACAAAATAAATCATTGCATGGTAGTGTAATTACATTCCAACCGTTATGTTAATTATAATTTATATCAATTCAATAATTAAAGAAAACAAGCTCTTCCTCTGGTTTCCTGTTCAGATTCTTCTGTGTACTAAATTATTCTATGTCAGCTAGGGTGGCACTGGACCATAAATCTGACAGCAGTGTATGGTGACATTATTTTTAATACATAAGAGAAAGCTTCGTCTATATGCTAGATTTGAAAGAAATGTTTTGTTAATTAAATTGGGTCAAAAGTAAACAAGATAGACTCAAACAAGGCATAGAAAATCCACTTGTTGACTGTCCAAAGAATTAAATTAAACACTTATTACCTCACAGATATTGACATAAATTGTTATTTTAAAATGTCTTTATTGCAAAATTAAATAAGAATGTGACAGATTCTCTAAGGACAGTCCTATCAAAAACCAGAAAATCCAATCATATGGCTGAAAAGAACTTTTAGAGATATTTTATGCATTTCCTTTCACTAAAATGCAATCTTATCTATATCTTCTATGTACAAAGAAAGGGATTTTTAAGAACAGTTTAGATACTGACATATGTGCAGACATACTCTGACATGTGCTGATAATGAGTATGAAAATGTTTTACCAGGACATCACCCGAGTAGTCTTCTCTACCGTCACAGTTAGAAGGTTAGTCCTAATATGGAACCTAACTTCATTCTGCAGATTAAGTCAATTACCCTTTGTTTTCTATAAGAAGAATGGAAGCATGGTCAAAGTCCTCATTATAGTCCTCTTTTAATTAGGATAGTAAACAGATAAGAGAAGCAAAGTTTGTATGGAGAGGTAGTCTCTTTTTAGACCGATACAGATGGAAAAAAATAAACTTTGGGGCACTATGTTTCTTTATCGGATCTGAAAAGAAGCAGAACCATCTAGACCTAGTACAGAATAGACGGGCGTGTTCTTGTTGCTTCCTTCAGAAATTTCTACTTTATCAGGAAGGATATTAGGAAAAATTTCTTCACAGAAAGGGCAGTCAAGCATTGGAACAGGCTGCCCAGAGAGGTGGTGGAGTCACCATTGCTGGAGGGGTTCAAAAAATGGATAGACATGGCACTTTGGGACATGGTTTAGTGGGCATGGTGGTGTTGGGTTGATGGTTGGACTGATGATCTCAGAGGTCCTTTCCAACCTTACTGATTCCTAGTTTTTACTTTCATTAAAAAATAATCCAGCCACCAAACCAGGAAACATGAAATTATTACTCTACCCTTAATTGGTTTAGTGGTGGACTTGGCAGTAATGGGTTAATGGTTGGACTGGATGATCTTAAAGGTCTTTTCCAACCTAAACGATTCTATGATTCTATTCTTTAAATGTGGTAGCAAAACTTTATGGAGTACTTTGATCCGGTCACATAAACACTGAGGAAAGCTGAATAAACAGGAATTATCTCCCATATCTTTGCATTTGTCTTCATTATTAGCAAGTTCTGGCTCACGTTTTGTGACAGCAGTACATTGGCAATGTACACTTAGTTTATATTTCAGTATTTCTCTCTGTTGTGTTTTCACATACTCAGATACTCACGGTTTCACTTCTAATTTCTTACCTGGAACTCTGAACTCATCTTCACTGTTATATTTTCCAAAGTCACTCAGACTTGTGGTCTTATTCTTCAACATGCCTTCAGGTTATCCCAGCTTCCTAACATCCACAGATCTTATTAAGTGTACAGGAATGCATGCTGTGCCTTTTATAGCTGTAATTAAAAATATTGGCCAGAATGAAATCAACAACATGGACCTATGTGAGATATCCTGTGCAATCACTTATTACCATATGGAGCAGGCTTTTTCAGTTGTATATTTTATGGTGATTTCATCTTTATCTGCAATTCCTAACAAGAAGATCTTGTAAGTAGTCCATTCAATTTCTAGAGGGGTTTTTTGTTTGTTTGTTTGTTTGTTTCCCCAGTGTTTTCCATTAAATCATGAGAACAGTGGTTAGTAATCTATGAAAAGTTTTCTAAGTTTTCTTGGATATTAAAGGTCCACAGAGCAAAAAAATTGTCCATTACCAATTTAAGCCACCAGTGGCCAATGTGGGATTCATACACGAGATACATGCTGATCTAGCTCTTCTCTGAGTCCTTTCCTGTGAATCCCTCCATTAAGGGACACAGACAAAATACGCTGGCATGAGGATAGCTAAGCAAACTGAACAGATCAGGAGAAACCACTAGACATGACATAAGTAATTGCTGAATATAACAAATGACAAAGTGAGAAGTTTGCAAAAGTTGCAGATAGAGCCATGAGGAATCAAATCACACAAATGGTTAAGGCAGGGGGTGGGGGGAGCAGAATTCACAGGTAACTAAAGGGCAGTACTAGGGACATTTCAGGGCATGGAACCTTGCAAGGCCAGAATTACCTAGGTAGCCTTGCCCTTGAGGAAACCCGCAACATATTCCTGTGGTGCTACATGGCTGCAAATAAACTTAAACTAGAGATTCCACTAACAAAAAGAAAAGGGCTTGTACCTCAGTGATGTTGTCAATTTTGGTCATCTGCATATCACAGTAATCAGTGGAGGTACAGAGGGCTGTATGACAGTACTCATTTTGCTATAGACAAACGGTCATTTAATAGCAGGACTGCGTTTGTATGGGTCAAGCTGTGGCAAAGCTGAATACAGTGTCAAAATTGAACTGAAATATTTAGGGGTTGTCCTTGCTCAAAATCTCACTAAGTTTACCTCCAATGGCTCCAGCAATACTTTCTCTGTGTGGTTGGAACACCCTGTGCAGGTCGAGCAAGACACATTCTACCATGGAAGTGCTATCTCAACAGTAATGACTGAAGTGCAGTGTGGGAAAGTGACGTTCCGGTTCCAGCATTCCTCAGACAGTGTTAATGGAACTGGAGCACATGGAGGACAAACACCTGAGCTCATTTTCTATGCATGATCCATTTCACCTTAATTGTATTCCAAGACTGCAATGATGCACATTAAGGGATTTTTCAATTTTATGGCAAAACTCTACAGCAGTATGGAATCTTACGCTACTTACCTGCCTGCTACAGCAGGCTATACATATAAGCAAAGGAATGCTTTGAATTTAATCTTATTTTAATTATTCATAAGCTATTTGACTTAATTATTAAGACTGCAACAAGAATAAAAATGTTAAATTTGGCAAGTACTTTTCATTTATTTTGTATATAGATAACTAACTCGTCGACCGTGGCTGGTTTGGGGTTTTTTTGTTTGTTTGTGTTTTTTTCACTAGGGGAAAAATCTGGAGTAAGGAAGATGTACCCTTGGTGGAAGAGAATCAGGCCAGGGAATATTTAAGCAAACTGGACACACGTAAGTCCATGGGCCATGATGGAATGCACCCATGAGTGCTGAGGCATCTGGCAGATGTCACTGCAAGGCCACTCTTGATAATCATAGAATCATAGAATGGTTTAGGTTGGAAAAGACCTTTAAGATCATCCAGTCCAACCATTAACCTAACATTACCAAGTCCACACTAAACCAATCAAGGGTAGACTAGACTAAACCATGTCCCGAAGTGCCACATCTACCCGTTTTTTGAACACTTCCAGGGATGGTGACTCCACCACCGCTCTGGGCAGCCTCTTCCAATGCTTGGCCACCCTTTCCGTGAAGAAATTTTTCCTAATTTCCAACCTAAACCTCCCCTGGCGCAGCTTGAGCCCATTTCCTCTCGTCCTATCGCTAACTACATGGGAGAAGATATCAACATCCACCTCACTACAACCTCCTTTCAGGTAGCTGTAGAGAGCGAGAAGGTCACCCCTCAGCCTCCTCTTCTCCAAACTAAACAATCCCAGTTCCCTCAGCCGCTCCTCATAAGGCCTGTGTTCCAGACCCTTCACCAGCTTTGTTGCCCTTCTCTGAACACGCTCCAGCACCTCAATGTCTTTCTTATATTGAGGGGCCCAAAACTGGACACAGTATTCCAGGTGCGGCCTCACCAGCGCTGAGTACAGGGGGACAATCACCTCCCTGCTCCTGCTGGCCACACTATTCCTTATACAGGCCAGGATGCTGTTGGCCTTCTTGGCCACCTGGGCACACTGCTGGCTCATGTTCCTGAGTTCTTTCCTCCTGTATAGCCTCTGACAGGAAAAGACCATAAATTAGATATCAGATGTCCTCTGACCTCCTCTGTCCACTCCTTCCATCATAATAACATGGATGTGCCAGTTACTGCTAAGTCCTCCCTTAGTTACTAAACACAGGAGATACCCAAAGCACATTCTCAGAAAAACCTTTAACTAAGGTCTGGCCACTGAGCTGGCACTGAGGTAGAAGAGGGACTCTTTAAGTACTGCAGCTGGAAAACTGTATTCCCCCTGGACTGGAGCGTAGGAGGGAGATGACAAAGGACTCTCCTGTAAGAACATACCAACATAGAGAGAGCACTGAGCTGATATGATTGTCCTTTCTGCTTCGTAACTCTCATCTATATTATCAGAACAAATGAAGTTATTTGATGGGTGTCCCCTGGCAAAGGCATAATCAAAGAAGCAGAAGGGAGACACCAAAGTAATGTTATACCCAACTTGTCAGTTCCCTTGCTTTTTGTACCTCACTTCAGCTATTTACTGGAATTTAGACTAGAGTTCATTCCCAAAGCAGTCGTACAGGACAGTGCTAAACTGTGGGACTTTATATGAGGAAATTACCACATAAAGAAGATATTAGTGAAGATGGCAATTGCTCCCAGCTCATTTTCAAAGGAAGAACTTGATACAGCTAAAAAAGGGGGTAAACACAAGTAATATTTTAGACATGATGAATTGCTTTCAAGGAAAAGTTATTACAAGGTAAAGCTTAAGTTACAAAACAAATTTACTTTGGTAGTCTTCTTTGTATTGTTAACTTGGATCATATCAGCATAGTCCCATAACAAGTTGTGTTAGTACAACTAAAGTGCTGGTAAATGGGACAGGAATGTCCCAAGCAGGTGTCACTGGGGCAACCTATGATTGACATAATTATGGTGTGAATCAACAGATATATTTATATAGACATTTATTTTTGTTTGTTAATACATCTGTGTAACAAGGATATTCCAATATATTCCCCTGCATTTTAGCACACAAACATAAGTATCTTCCCCTGTGTTTTTCCTTCAGAAATAACTTTACAAACTGTGGAACAAGACTATCATATATTATATGTATTACATGGATTACCCCTTGGCATGAGGATATTATTTATTATTGGCAACCCTAGTTCTTGTCCCAAAATAATCCAGAATTTATCTGTCACTTTAATCCCTATTAATCACTGTAGTTACTAACATACCAGCTTTTGGAGGTAATACATTGGTTGCTATTTTAAATGGGTATGTCCAGTACAGTACCAGTACGTAGCTGGTTGCCTTTGGCTACCATTGGCTGCCCCTCCCTCCTTTACCACTGAGTCCAGCACATCATTTAAATCCTTCATGAAAATACACTTATTTGAATTTATATTGACATATGTATTAAAAAAAGTGAGTGAACATAATCTACAAACACTGACAGTAAATAAAATACAAATTCCAGAAAAAGCACATTTGATAATAACTCTACACTGAATGTCTCAGGCAAAAACTTGCACTGTTTATACTACTATGCAGTTGTGTAAGGATAGAACTAAAATACAGATCTTCTTCCTATCTTTGGGCAAACGCAACTGTTGTAACATAAGGTATATTGGCTACATCATTCTGCAGCAATATAATGTTATTTTTAGTACATGAAATCTCAGCACTGCAATGATTCCACTTTGGTCAATATGCTATGAGAAACACAACTTAAATCTTGGTGCTGAATGCCCTGGTAATTTCTTGTTTCATCATCCAAATATTGCAGAACTGTGGGAATCAAAGCTTATAGGACTTGAAATTATTTTGATGGGATTTTGAACTCCATACTTATACAAAAAGAATGAAAAAGAACCTTTCTTAAAATGAAACAGACTTGTGAAGAAGAATGACAGTAACAGGCATTAAAAGTTATTATCCATGCATTTTCTTTGATTTGTAGAGTCCAATACTAACCAGGGTGACCCCTTTCATGTGTTATGTAATTAACAGCTGAATTGAAATTTACCTTATTCATTTTCCTCTTTTAAGGAATAGAGTGAGTGTAACAAATTTGGGACGTTTTACACAAGAGCATTTATTGCTTGATGAAATGATGTGTTAACCCATCATAAGAAGTGGTTTATATAATATGTTAAGCCAAACAGGATTAGCCAATGGAGAATAGTTTTTTAGCTACTTTGGTTTAATTGTACACAAGTGAAATCATTCCTTGCAGAAGTACATCAGCATAAGAAACATGTTTTTCATTTTTCACTAAAGGCAATATCTTTCCTGTCAGTGGCTGGATGCACAAGAGAGAAAGGGGGGAGCAGAGGACATGGGAAGCCGGTCTGGGAACCTTAGTTTGATGTATTAGCTGTGTCCAAACTAAGAAATAGGTTCATGTTTCATAGTTCTTACCCCCTCATGCCAAGAAGAATGCCTTGCATATCCATTCCTGTACACACACACACATTTCCTTTCAGAAGAAACAGAGTTCATAGGGAAGGATAGAGCATATCAAGACCGGAGAGCTGGAAATCGCTCTCTGATCATCCAGTTCAGACATTCCTACTGAAATCATAGGGATGGTCCAAAATTCCACTGCAATTGTTTCTCCTCAGAACATGCTGATAGAATGAGGCTTAAACAATTTGTTTTCCATACTTAGGGAAAAAAATGGGGTCTAGTGCTGGATGGATGAAAAAATGAAATTTAGATTCCTGCTCTGAATCACCTCCTAGAGGACCTGTTTTGAAACTATTCAGAGCAGTAGCCTATATCTAGGTACTCAAAACTGCTTCCTGCAGCAGGATCTCTCTCATCACCAACTACAGAGGAAGCCTAAGGGTACTTGGTTCCCCAGGCTAAAGTGAGCATTTGTGAATACCAAGCCCTATCATTCTCTTACTGATATTGGACTGGGCTTTCAGTGTAAAGGTAAAATTTTAATGATGAATGGTCTGTATTGTGCTACACTTGATAAAATGTAAATTTGTTGTCAAGGAATCCAGTTTGCGGGTGCGACAACAACAATTAAATGCTTTCTGAAAAGAATAAAGAGTGCCAGAAAGGAATTTGCTGGTTTATTACTTTCTGCATGTTCAATGCCTAAGCTTTTGAGATCCTGCCTATTTTTTGAGGACGTATCCACCTAAGTCTGTTAGGTCTTCATGATGCAAACAAAACTGACAGTATACAAACACACCATGCATGTTCCTTATGTGAGAACACACCATCTTTACTTAGCATAATGTACGCCTGTTTTTTTCTTTCACTGTGGACTATTTTACCTAGTCTTCTATAAGAACAACTACATAATGCTTACTTTGACTTAGGATGCCCATCACAGATATAAGCATCCACTGTTGGAGAGGGGGAGAGAGCAGGGAATGGGAGGGAGGAGACTGAGCTTTTTTTTGTTAATTTGCTTTCTTCAAGCACTACCACTATTATGCTTTTCTAAGTTATCAGTGTTATAAGAGATACCTTTATAAAACAGAATAATGTGTGATGGTAACTGTGCCATTAAGGTCTCTAGTGGAACATTAATTATTGATCTTTGCCTCAAAAGCATCAGAATGTTGTATTAGAGCTGCAATGAACTGCTCACCTTACAAGCATTCAACTGAACTATGTCATTCAAAGGTGACAAGGTTTAGCTCTGCTACTATATTCAGAGCACTCTGAAGACTGCAAGAGAATTGCAAACACAGCCAAACCTGCCTAACAGAAATAGGATATCTGACACAAATAACCTTTTTTTGGACAGGACATTTTTAAGTCATTCTCAGTTTCTTATTCTCTGTTCTTCTGAGTTCCCTTGCTTCCTGCAAACCATGCTTTTAGTGATAAGG